GAAGCTTCAATATTGGTTTAACTTGAATCTGGCAAGAATTTTGTGGTTTTTAGTGACGCGTCCCATAATGGATTGGGATGTGTATTAATGCAAGAAGGGAAAGTGATAGCGTATGCATCGAGGTAATTGAAACCCCATGAAAAAAATTATCCAACTCATGATTTGGAGATGGCTACAATGGTGTTCTCTCTCAAGATTTGGCGTCACTACTTATATGGAGAACTTTGTTATCTTTATAATGACTATAAAAACTTGAATTATCTGATAACTCAAAAAGAATTAAATTTGAGGCAGAGAAGGTGAAGTTCTTAAAGGATTATAACGTAATAATTGATTTTCATCCTGGAAAAGCTAATGTGGTAGCAGATACTTTAAGTAGAAAATTTTTTGCAGCCTTATGAGCTTTAGACACTAGGTTATCTTTGAATAGAGATGGTGGTTTATGTGTAGAATTAAAGCTTAAACCCGCATGGTTGGATCGAATTAGAGAATTGCAAAATAAAGATAGCATGTGTTTGAAAAGATTGGAACAAGTAAAGAATAAAGGAAATAAGGATTTTGAGATCAAGTTTGATGGGAATTTGTACTATAGAGGAAGAATGGTGATTCCAGACGATGATGAATTGAAGAAAGATCTTTTGACAGAGTGTCATTGCAGTCCATTGACGATGCACCCGGGTGGAAACAAAATGTATATGGATCTGAAGAATCGGTATTGGTGGCCAGGGATGAAAAGAATTATCACCAAATTTGTGTCTAGGTGTTTAACATGTTAACAAGTCAAAGTCGAGCATCAAGTTCCGTCAGGATTATTGCAACCACTTTTCATTCCTCAATGGAAGTGGGAAATGTAACGATGAATTTTATTTTGGGGTTACCTCTGACTCCGAACAAAAGAGATTCAATTTGGGTAATTGTTGATCGTTTAACCAAGTCAACATATTTCCTTCATGTTAGAATTGATTTATCTATAGAAAAGTATGCGGAGCTGTATATTAGAAAAATTATTAGATTGCATAGAGTGCATGTTTCCATAGTTTCTGACCGAAATCCTTGATTCACCTCTAGATTTTGGGAATCTTTGTATGGAGTATTGGCAACTCGATTGAACTTTAGTACAACTTTTCACCCTCAGACTGACAGACAATCAGAGCAGACTATTCAAATTTTGGAAGATATGTTAAGAGCATGTATAATTGAATTCAAAGGGTCCTGGGAGAAGTATTTACCACTGGCAGAGTTCGCTTACAACAATAGTTATCTATCCAGTATTAAAATGGCACCCTATGAGGCGTTATATTGGAGGAAATATCGTACACCATTAAATTGATATGAGCTTAAAGATCAAAGTGTTCTTGGTCCAGATTTGGTTCAAGATATAGAAGAAAAAGTTCAGGAAATTCAGCATAATCTCAAAGTGGCGTTTGATCGACAAAAGTCCTATTCTGATCTTAAAAGAAAATAAAATTGAATTTGAAGTTGGAGATAAAGTTTTCCTAAATGTATCTCCCTAGAAGAAAGTATTAAGGTTTGGTCGGAAGGGAAAATTGAGTCCTAGATTCATTGGGCCATATAAGATTGTTAAGCAGATAGGACCAGTAGCATATCAGTTAGATTTGCCACCGGAAATGGAGAAAATTCATAACGTTTTCCATGTGTTAATGCTACGGAGATATAGATCCAACCACTCTCATATTGTTGCACCAGAACAAATAGAAGTCCAACATGATGTGACCTATGAAGAAGAACAAGTACTAATATTGGCTTATGAAGTCAAACAGTTGAGGAATAAAACAATTCCATTGGTCAAAGTTCTATGGAGAAATCACAAAGTAGAAGAAGCAACGTGGGAACGTGAAGAGGATATGCGACATCAATACCCTCATCTCTTCGTGCAATGAAAATTCGAGGACGAATTTTCTTAAGGGGAGATTTGTAACATCCTCAATACCGGGTTAGTGACTAAATTGAAAAACTTCAGAATTGATTGGCTAAAGTAGATAAATTGAATAGGTTAGTGACTTATATGAAAATTTTATGTAGGATGAAATTGTAAGGAATGATGGATAGAATGTCAAAATGGTTATCTGACCTAATGATGAATTAAAATCTAATATGGTAAGGATATATATATATATATATATATATATATATACACGTGGGAAATGGAGGATAAAAGAAATACTTCCAGAGAACTCTTATTCACTCTTCTTCTCCAGACGTGAAGCCCCATAAGCTAAGGTGAGTTGGCTTTTATTTGGTTAATTTTTGAAAGTTAGGTGTGGTTTTTATTGATGAACCATTAGGAAAGAGTATGAAAACAAAAATAGGAATAGAAACTCAAAGAATGATGAGTTATGGAAGATTGAAGGTATGAATTTTTTAAGTGAAAATTTGAATAAGAAGACTTAAATGAATTTAGAAGCTGGATTTGACTTGTCATAGGTGTGAATAAGAAGTAATAAGTGTTAGAATTAAGTTTGGATTATATGGAAAACTTAGTAAAATTCCTGGTTTCAAGAATTGGAATAAGTTATTAAAGTTTATAAGGTGTTAAGATGATAAAAGAAAGTTAAAATAATTGTAGTTGAGGTTGGTGGCATTAAAGGAACTTTAAAGGTGAAAATTAAGTAAAGAGTTGATGATTTTCAGGTAAAAGAAGTATGTTCTAGGTAGGTGGTATCGGTACCAGATGAGTTGGTACCGATACTACACAGTTTGTATAGGCTATATTATTGTGTAGGTATCGATAATACATGAACAATATCGATACAACAAGACCAATTTAGACAACATCTTCATGAGGTATCGATACCGAAAAGGGGTAGTATCAATACCATAAGTATCGATATCAGAAGTCAGGTATCAATACCATTTTTGGAGTTGAAACATCGAATCGAATTTTGGTATTGATACCCAAGTATAATATCGGTACCATTATAAAGGAAGTATCGGTACTGTACCTTGGGTACCGATACTATTAAATAGGGAAATATCGATACTGTACCCTGGGTACCGATACTATTTAATAAGGAAAATATGAATTATGTTTATCAAATAGTTTAAGTTATTAAGATTGAGTTATATGTTTAGGCTTCTGATAATTGTCTTGGAAATCATATTTATATAGATACTAAGCATAAACGAGTTGGTGAACAAGTGATGAGTAAGATTGATCGAGGGAAGGACAAAGAGATATAGGTGAGTGTATATTCATAGTATGATTATAGTAGGATATTAAACTTTAGACTTGTGATAAGTCTAGTTCCAACATAATTAATACATGATTGCATTACTTGATACGATAGATGACATGAACTCATATTATATGCATTATGTGACAATGATCTACGTGAATATGTAGGATAACTTTACATGATCCATGTGATAAAAGTAAAAATTTATATGTCTATGAGAAATAAACTATGTGAATTATGAAAAGCCCATGTTATGTAGATGAGAGCTATAGTTGGCATGCCAAGAGTCGAGGGTCTACGTGGTCCTTTGAGACATATATGTAATCCTTTGGAACATATATACGGTCCTTTGAGACACATATTTGGTCCTTTGGAATATGTATATGGTTCTTAAGGAGATTTCTATGTGTTCCTTATGGACATTTTATATGACACTTCGGTGCATTTCTACGCGGCACTTCGGTGCAATTCTACGTGGCACTTCAGTGCATTTATACGAGCTGTGGTGATAAAATTTGTGCACAAACTCAATGCACTCACATACCTTAAGTTTTCGGTATTGTATCATGGGCTAATGAAAATATAATTATGAAATAACATTAAATACTATGATAATTTACTATGTGTAAAATGCATGATTTAGTCTTTTACATTGAATAAAGGTATGATTTCATGTTATTACATTTCATTATAGTACGAGTATTATATATATTTTGTGCCTCACTAAGTCGATGACTTAGCTTATGAGTGTTTCACAGCTGGGATAACATCGCTTTTGCAGATATCATATCAGAAGCAACTTAAACAGTAGGTTATTTTGTTATGAAAATCAATGTTGACATGTAATCAAAAGTTTAAGTTGTATATGCTCTGATTATTTTGTGAACTTTTGTATAAACTTATGTATAATATTGGATTTCTTAATATAAGTTTAAATTTTCTATTCTTTTGTATAAGTATATGGTTTTAAAAAGATGATGTGATATCTCGAACTTGTATCCAGGTCGAGTACGGGTTAGGGGTGTTACATTTAATAGTATCAGAGCTATGGTTTAGCCGATTCTAGGCATAAACTAGAATCTATAGTGTTGCCCATTCTGCCTCATCTAATTTTACCTATGAAAAAACTCGAATTGAGGGAATTTCTACCTCAATGGGAAACACAACTTCCATCAAATTGGCTAAAGAAAACAGAGTTGCCCCAGTCGACGTCTGCACCGAAGTTCAATAAGCAAACAAAGTAAATGTTAACTTCTCATGCCAGTCTTTATAAGTCTCAGTTATATTCTCTATAAGCCTCTCGATGTTCTTATTAGTTATCTCTACTTCCCCATTCATCTTCGGGCGATAAGTAGTGAAATTATGATGTTTTATCTTGAACTGCTCATAGACTGATTCCATTATTTTATTGTTTAGGTTCAAGGCATTATCGGAGATAATTATTTATGGTAAACCATAGCGACAAATGATTTCCTTCTTTAAGAACTTACAAACTATTGACTGAGTGACATTTGCATTGGAAGCCACTTCAACCCATTTAGTGAAATAGTCTATTGCCACCAAGATGAAACGATGACAATTTGAAGTCTTGGGTGAATTTTTTCCAATAACATCCATGCCCCATATAGAGAACGACTATAGAGCTGTCATCACATGCAATGAATGAGGAGGGGTATGAATCTTGTCTCCATAAATCTAGCACTTATGACACTTTCCGGCATTATTGATGCAATTGGTCTCCATAATATTTCTAGCCATTGTATGTCCATTAGCTTGGGTACAACATACTCCCTCATGTACTTCCTAGAGAATTGTTTTAGCTCCTTTGGCATCTACACACCTCAATAAGACCTGATATGGGCTTTTCTTGTACAATGCTTCACCATCAAACACATACCCTGCAACCATCCTTCTAATAGTTATTTTTTCATTCCCAGACGCCTGTTCAGGATAACTCTGATATCTGATGTATTGCAGGACATCATAATTCCAAGGATTTCCATCTTTCTCCTCTTCGATGCTATAACAATGGGTTGGATACTCATAAGTCTGCATCTCAATGAGCATCATATGTGAGTTTTCGTATACCTTAAATGTTGCTACCAAAGTAGTTAAGGCATCTTCCATTTGATTCTCTTCTCTGGGGAGGTAATTGAATGTTACTTCTTTAAATTCTTCGATAAGCTTCATGACCGATTTGCATTATTCTACCAGCTTGGGATCTTTTGTCTCCCACTCTCCCCTGAGTTGATAAATAATTAAATCTGAATCCTCATATACTTTGAGTGTTTTTATTTTACGTTCAACGATAGCTTTGAGACCCAAAACACAAGCTTCGTAGTCAACCATGTTGTTCGTGAAATCAAAATTTAGCCGACTGGTGAAAGGATAATGTTCTTCATTTGGTAAGATCAAAATTGCCCCAATTCCGTGCCCCAAGGCATTCAAAGCACCATCAAAGTTCAACTTCCAATGTTCATTGGTAGATGTAGTTGCTTCTTCTACTGAAATAGCCATTAGATCTTCATCTGGAAAATCAAAACTCAACGGCTTATATTCTTTAGAAGCCCTACTTGGTATAAAATCTACTATGGAGCTCCTTTTAACTATTTTTTGACTTACATATTGAATGTCAAACTTTGACAATAGAATCTTCCACTGAGCTAATCTTCCAAATAGAGCAGATACACCCATAAGATATTTCAAAAGGTCAAATCTAGAAATTAACCAAGTGGTGTGATACAACATATACTGGATGAGCCTTCGAGTAGCCCAAACTAAAGCATAATACAACTTTTTGATTGGTGATTACCTTGTCTCGCAATCAATGAACTTCTTGTTAAGATTGTAAATTGCTCTATCTTTATTCTTAGTATTGTCATGTTGTCCTAACATGCACCCCATGGAGTTCTCAAAGACTGACAAGTAGAAAATTAAGGGTTTGCCTGAGATAGGTGGCACTAGAACTGGAGTATTTGACAAATATTGCTTGAATTCAAAAGCTTCTTGACAATCATCACTCTACACCCCTGAGTTATTTTTGCGGAGAAGGCGAAAACTGAGATCACAATTCTCGGTCAATTATGAGATATATCGAGCGAATAATTTAATCTCCATAGGAATTCTCGAACCTCTTATAATCCTTAATTTTCAAATCAGAAGTCAAATGCAGTTTACCCACTTCACCTGCTCCCATCATCCCTTGATTCCTGTAGAAATATGCGCAAAATCACCGAAACATTTGTACTATTTTATGATTAAATTATGTAAACTTTTGGCTATAAAAGCCAAGAAAAATAAGAAAAGAAGAACGATTTTTTTGGTTTCCAGTAAAAATAAAAAGAAGTGTTGCAAGGTAGTTTTTTTCTTCAGTTTTTACATTTCATTTCGAAATAACAATCCATTTAATTTTTTTTATAGTTTCATTTCGAAATAATAATAATATTTGATTTTTTTTAATTTCAGAATAATAAAAAGAATAAATAATATGTATTTTATAGTAAGAAAATAAAAGAAATAGGAATCGAGGCTTACTTGGGCCAAAGATGCCTCGTCGGAGGTCTCTAGAATCTGGGGAAACCGAGCGGTTTTGGGATGATTTCGGGTACTTTAAGGCTTTATTTGGTGGTTTTATTCTTAATGAGGGTTCCTAATGGGTAGATATATTATTTTGAGGTGATTTGAGTCGGTTTTAGAATTTTCGGCCACCGTGTACGGAGGTTGGTGTGGTGGCTGCCCGACGGCCGGCGTCGGCTAGGGGTGGCCGACTTATTGTCCGGCCGAAGAATGGTGGAGAGAGCTCTCCAGAGCTCTCCCATTTTTTTGTGTTTTGGGTAAAAATGAAACAAAAAGAGTAAAAGTTGGTATATATAGGCTATATTAATGGTAAAATTACATCTTAAATGCCTCTAACTTTCCCATTTTTTTTACATTTTAATCACTATAAGGACCAAAATTGATATTTCGCCATTTCCCTATGCATGCTTTATTTTTCTGGTAAATTTACTGTTTCAGTACCTTTAATTTTAGCGTGTTTTTACACTTTGGTCACTGCACCTTTTATTTTTATTTATTTTTGTTTTGGTACTTATTTTTATTTTATTTTGATTTAGTCCTTATTAGTCTTAATATAGCTACTAAATTTTATTTTCTTGTATTTTGGTTCATGTTTACTTTTTATTGAGTTACTTTCTTTTATTTTTCTCGCAATTTAGTCCTTATATTTAAATTTTATTATATTTAGATTCTTATATATTTTAATTTTCTTTATTATATGTATTTTTTATTACTTTGTTTAATTTTAGTATTTATTTATTTTATTTTGTAATTTTATTTTTAATTAGGATTAATATTCGAATCAAAATTAGAAATTAGGACGACACTAAAGTATAATTAGGGGGCAATTCGAGTCGAGTCTTCGCATTATACGCCCGAATACTCGAATCAATTGTTCGATTAAAAATTAATTTTTTTCTTTTAAAAATCTTAGTTTAATATTTTAGGTAATAATTATTTTTTAACTAGTCCCTTAATTTAGAAATTATTAATTTAGGTCTTTAGATTTTTAAATATTTTAGAACTCTGATATTTTTAGTCATTTACCCTTTTAGTCCCTCAAACTTCGATTAGACTTTTAATATTGACATAATTAAATAGGTTAAATAGAGCCTCCATTTTAGCTTAGATTTCAAACTAATCTTTTAATTTAGGGGATAATTCGAGTCGGCCCTCGCGTAAATGCTCGAGGGACCATCTCGATTATTCGATTCAATAATTGATTAAAATCAAATAGGATTAATATTAGAGCCTACATTTAGGTTCACTCCCCTAGGTTCTTTAATTTTCATAATTTGACACTTTAAGCTAGAAAAAACCTTAATTTACTTTTAGTTTAATTAGGATGAATAAAATTTTGTCTGATAGCATTTTATTTTAACTCGTGGCACTGTTCACTTATTTAAGGAATCAATAGTATATCTCCCGCGATCGTGCATAGGGGGTGACTACTGGTGATTCCCTAAATATGTCAACATCCTTTTCAAAACCACATCATGTTTTCTAAAAACGAGGCAATGTTCGATTATTAGACACAATAGCTAATCTTCAGCATTTACGCTCGGGGGTGAATGCTATCGGTTTTAATAAACGAATACCCTTTTTAACTTTGCATCCTTAATGATTTTTAAATTAAATAAAGATCGAACTCAAAATTTCCAATTTTAAATATAGGGTAATCAACTAGGTTCCAATTTTTGGGCGCTTGTGGGGGTGTTAATCCTTCCCCACGCGTAACTGACTCTCGAACCTGATTTTTGCAGACCCCAAAACTTAGTATTTTATTAAAATAAAATGTTTTATTAAAATCACCCGGTTTTTATGGTGTTCCAATCACACCTTAAATGATTGGTGGCGACTCCTCACATTTTGAAAACATTTTCAAAGAGAAACCCCCAAGTCGATATCAGTCTTTTCACGCCCGGGCGAAAAACGATATCGACTGCTTGGCGACTCCACTGGAGACTATTTTGTTTTTAAAACAAATTGAGAGTCGACCCACAAGTTGGTTACTTTATATTTATTATTTTGAGAAATTACGAGTTTGATCTTGTTTTAATTTATTGTTCATTATGATTTTTTTAAAAAAAGAAAAAATAGACTTTCTCTCTGGTTAATGCTTACACTTCTATGAAATTATTTAGGATTGTTGCATATCATAGCTCTGAACCCGAGCTCAAACCCAGTTTACCTAAGTAAAGAGAAACGTCACACCTCACGAGGGGCATTGGGCTTCCTTGTGTGGGTCTGACAAAGTATCTCTTGAAAGCATCCTAAGTTGCCTATCCGGATATCAGATCTGAGGTACGCTTTTAGTGGTGTGATCCCCTTAGCTGAACCCGATTCGCAAGTCTGTAATGGGCCAGAATCGGGGCCAACCTTAACAGGTTGTAAAGATGGCTTAGGAACCTTTGTTAGAACCCAACCTCATATAGAGAATTTAGTAAGCCTACCCCACTAGTGCCATATGGATAACCTAGGAGAACTAGAACGCATGCGGTTAGGACCAATAATTTCCTTTGTATGCTTTATTTTTTAGTATGCTTTAAGTCATATAAATTTAAGTCATATATAAGATTTTATTTTTTTGACTAATCATTTCAACTAACTTGATTCTTGTTGTCTTGTTTCTACTGACAATGATTTTCTTTTGTATGCTCTTATTGCATTTTTGCATGTATCATTGCTAAATCACATCATTTCATAAACGATATTGATTCCCAGATTACTTAGTTAATATAAAAAGATTTTAAGGCAACAACGTCTTCTGATGGGCTGAGAATGCAATCGGTGTTCAAACTTCGTCCGAGTGCAGGCAGACGCGGTTCAGAGACAACCTTGTCACCACCGAAGAATCAATTTTGCCAGAGAAGGTAATTATCTGAGCCCTACAGCACGCTCAGAGACTGAGAGGGCAAAGAGATGAGGATAACCAGGAATTGGCGCAGAGGTGAGCACAGATTGAGCAGCTCGAAGCACATCTGCTTAGTTTTGATGAGACTTTTCAGAACCCTTACAACAACAATGGGTTCCATCTTAAAAAAGAAAATGAGATGTTAAAGAAGATGATAATGAAGCTAGAAGGAGTAGTGTTGATCAATTCATCCGTACAATAGATAGCCAGACAGAAAAATGAGGCCATAAAAGCCATGATTCCTGAGCTTGAAGTTACAGTACAGAGATGCCATCAGCGAATTCAGCAGTTAGAGGAGAGCCAACCATGGACTAATCCAGAACTTGGGATCACGCTACGGCAAGCTCAGGACACTATTCATAGACAACATGAAGAAATAGAGAGAGCAGTAAATCAGGCTCGTGGTGTTTCTCGTCAAGTCTATGAGTTATCTGAAGAAGCGATATCTTTAAAAGTTTCCATGATCTTAGAATCAGAGGAAGAAAAACGCATCATGGGATAGGTGATAGAGTTCGAGAGATTAGGGGATAGGGCAAGATTCTACGTTTAGTTTCCATGTTGATGTACTCTCTTTGCCTAAGTGCTTAGACATTGTGTGTTGTTGAGTACTTTTTATATAAACTAAGTTATTATGGAATCAGTATCGGGTTGCATTTACATCCACATTTACATTTCTTGCTTTTGCATTTACCTTTATACCTTACTTGTTTTTATACGTATTAACTTATTTTCTTTTTTCCTTTCTCTTTCTTGCATCATATGGTCACGACATACACAAAAGGATGTCAATTCTGAGTAGTCACCAATTAAAAGGTTTTCACCATTGACAAGGGTTTCATAATCAGGTAAACCGTGATATAACCAAGAAATGGCATTCGAAAGAAGTTCCAATAAAAGCAGGGAGTTGTACTTCTGAGGATCACATATCTGATGAAGGACAAAGAGAACTGCAACAAATGAGAGAACAAATGTCCAAGATGATGGATAAAATAATTGTGTTGGCCAAAGGAAAAGAGGTTTTGGTGCAAAAAGAGGAAGAACTCGGTAAAAATAAAACTGTAACACAAGAGGCTACTTGATGTAAGGTACTTGTACCTTTTCAAATGATTGTGGATCTAGGAAGGAAGCAAAACAACCTGCAAAGTGAATGGCTCAAAATAGAATGGTTAAGGGTGGTAGACGTATGGGTGAATTGGTAGGCTATTTAAATAATGAGTAATGGAAGCGGAAGATAGTTGATAAGGCTATGGTTATGGTGATGAAATAAAAGGATGGTTATGAGGATAGTATCTTGAAGAAATCTCAAAAAAGAACCAATGCTATATAGAGCAGAGACCCAATCTTTATATTGTTTCTTCAAGGGATGGTGTTAAGTACTTTGACCCACTAGTTATATGAACTAGGAACCAGAAGTATCAAGATGAAAGGAAGGGGT